GAGCCGCGACAAAAATGGGTAAATGCGTAGTGAAAGAATGCTATTCAAGGTCACAAAAACGTAATAAATCAAGCGGCATCACTTTCAACACATAATTTTTAGTTCTTGTTTTCATATAAACGTAAAAAACCTCAAATAATTAAATAAAATTATCGGATATTGCCATTTAGGTCCAATGTTGCCACTTTTCCGGATTTGTGATTATTCTACATTAATGGGAGACTATATAATTAATGGAGTAAGTTAATTTGTTACCTCTGATTTTAAATATTTTGTAAATTATAATAAAAACTACGTTTTAACTTTCATACAAAATAATTAATTATTCTTATTTTAGTTTATTCATGAATTATCTATTAAATATATTTTATTACCTATTTTATATTAATAATTTTATATTATTTATAATTTCATATAAATTTTATATTAATTATATTTTATTAGATCCCTATTTTATATTGTTTGATTTATTAGAACCATAAAAATACGTTTTATTTCATCATTATGTTTACTTCTATTCATCTGATAAGCTTTGTATCCCTTTTTTCTAAGGGGACGTAATAAAGATTTTAAAATAAAATATACTTTTTTGATATAAAAACAATTAACTGCAGCTTAAAAATTTTTATTGCGTATTTTAGGTAAAATTTCATATAGTAAGCCACACCAACCCGCCATTGCATGTTTGTGTGTCTATCTTTATCTAATCTTACGACGACGTTATTGTTTTCGCAACTTGTGTAAGTGAGATAGATATATGTTTACTTAAAATTGTTATTAGTTTCAAAGCTACGTCGTCGCGTTTGGATAGTGGTTACACTTTTTTCGACGCGCGGTAATGTGGTTTGCTCCTCTAGTGTTGTATAACTCAATGCGGTTAGATGTCAGATTATCAGATGTTTGTACGTAAACTTAATAAGTTATATACATATAATTTATTAGATTTACGTAGAAACATCGTGTCATCAAAGCCGGGGGATGTATCTTTCTTTTTTAAGCAATTGTGAAACAGTTACGTCAATCTCTGGGGTTGGCATACGTGAGAAAACTTATACAATAAACGCATCTGCACTTGGGTTCTTAATTAGGGATAGATATAGAAAACTATGGGCTACAGTATTCACTTACAAACAAGTGAACTGTGTTCTTATTTGTCCACCTTATTCTATAAAAAAATTGGCTTATAAATTATATAAATACTCAAACGAATAAATTTATGACTCACAATGTCGTTGTAATCTCGCGCTTTATTAAGTAGGCATGAGCGTTATTGTTCTTTACCCATGTGGTGATATTTGTAGTGATTGCACTATGGCGAAGATGTATCCCCGTCACCGCACAGACTTCTGCGCACAGCCGCCGCCAGAGGAAGTATGGGTATCAGTGTCACTGTACGTAATCACCGTTCCTTCTGCATCCGGTCCGTTTATGAACACACCTCGTTATCTATATTTAACATCCACATACACATAAAGCACACGGCAATAATAATGGGCTAATATTGATTTCTTTCTATAATACCTAAGTTATGAATTTAGTTATTGTTTTACCATAATTTTTAATCAATGCCTGTTTGTAATAAAATATAACCTTTAACGCCGTAGATATTTAAATATATAGCTTTGCTTGTCTTACAGCCGAATTTTTGTATTTATCGTTGCTATTACAACATAAATCACATCATTATCATCATTATTCATTACAGTCTTTCAAAGTCTACTGGCTGAACATAGTCCTATCCATAGATTGCATCTTGGTTCCTCGACACAGATGTCACGCACGACAAATTTGCTGACAACCACGGTTTTTTATTTAATTGTCCTTCTTTTATTAGAACGACGCTGCTATCCATTTCCATGTTTGTTTCCCTCTGTCGCCTTTGACGACATCCACAGGGTGATACTAAGGAGGTGGATAATCTACACATTTTACAAATAAATATAAATACACACTAGATTTAATTTTATTTGATAAATATTGTTCAGTTTCATAAAGCTTTTACCCATTAGTGTCACAAAATAATTATCACTACATTTCTATAAATAGATTATTAATTATTTTCCTCCGCTTTACTTAACGTTACCTATGTTAAGAAAAACTTTTGTACAAAGCGGACTTTGTGCTTTGAAAACTTCAATAAAATCTATTGGAGTCGACTTTAAGTAGCATGTAGTCCTACGTAGAATCGATGGCAACACCCGTATTCATAAAAGTTGCTATTAGGTCTCCAGGTTAAACACACAAATCTAATAGGAAAATTAATCATAAACAACACTTGAGGAACGATAGACTTTATGCGTTCATCATAATGAACGCACAGCTAAAGTAGCTCGCTAGGTACTTTACGCTACGCATATTGCGACAAATCAACACTGATGTAAAAGTAGGAGTTTGTATTTTTGTTTACCTCAGTGATTAAAATTGGATTCTTTCTATAATTTATTCTAATTAGTTTTGTTTGAAAAATTGTGATGGACATTATTAAAGTATACGATAAATATAAACTTGAGGTAATAATAAAATAAAATAAAAATAATAAATTGTTTAATTCAGATAATTTCAAATCCATATTATGTGGGTTAATAGTACAAAAATAATACTAATAACAAAGGTTAGTAAAACATGGTTTGCTTAAGTCGAGGGAAAAAAGTAATAGGTACCCTGTGACGAGACAGACCATCATGCGGGTGGATAGGGCCCAGTAATCAGTCTCTGCATAACATCCGAATATTACATTATTACAGTGCCAATAATTTAGACAGTCGCTATAGACTTTAAAACATATCGTAACAAAGACAGGCAAAAAGTATATACATTAATATATTTGGATCATTAATATCACTACGTTAACACGCAATGGTAACTTTAGTTTAAACATTTGATATGTGTTTATCAGTTTATACTCGAGTAAATTCTCATTTTCGATAAATGTAACCAATCACAGCGCTCCATTTAATGCTATGCACAACATAGAGTCCTTAAAGTTCACCTTGAAATAAATGGCTCGCCGTACTGAACGCATTGAGAGACATATTAAGTATCAAAGCGTTGCTCCTACACTTTAAAAAGTAATAATTATGAATTCGAGCACAAATACTCTTAAAACGTCTTTAATGGTCGTTTGGATAAAGACATACTGAAGTTCTATCTTTTTATCACTAAAAAAATTTCTGCCGTATCATAAAAACCTACAGTTAACCTTTCAGAAGAATTTCATAAAAAGCGAATATGATATGGAAACTTTTGCGATCATCATACCTTTTCTATTCTAAAACAATCATTAAGTAAAATAAAGGAAAACTAAAACAAAAGATTAAGTGAAAAAATTTTGGAAGATGAAAATGCAAGCAAAATATATTTTTTTAAATTTTAAAAATTACAAAATTTTAATTCAGATGGGGTGGAGAAATCCTTTATCCTCTCTAAAACAAAAATCTATAACAGAAGAACATCTGGCCGCCGAGCTCCAGCACGTTAAGCAAGTATTGCATCACAGTTTCGGATCCCGTCACAAGTCACACTAACCGAGTGAAGCCGGTCACACTCAACTATGTGCCTACTACTTCTACCTTATGTCAGAGGAGTCACAGATAAGATTGGCTACATCTTGAAAAGAGCTTTCATTAAAACCTTCAACAAGCTGCCAAATATTTGTCAAATTTTACCATCTTTTAAGTTAAAATATCCATTTTATAAATGTAGGAGTGTACAAGCTTGACTGCTAATGTGTTTGCACTTACATAGGATAAACTAAAATGACATATAGCTGACGTGAAGCATCGATCCTCCAGGAAGTCTGCAGTCTGGGAACATGTTTAAGATCGTTCCTATCCATTAGATTTGATAGCCCACAAATCCTCGAAAAAAAAACACGGAAATTATTCTTCCCAAGAATGATTTGCGAGGCTATTAAATTAAAAAAAAAAACATTCAAATTTCAATTGAAAACATAGTATTAGTATTATAATGTACAACTGCAAAACGTCAAAATAACTATAAGCACGTTTTGCGTAGATCGGATAAAAAATAATATTCTAAACTGCAAGTTAGCTGGGCTAACTATGTATCTAATACCTCAGTTCCCCAAAGTTCGGGAATTAAAAATAAGTAAAAGGTATAAACTACAGGCGATAAAATCAGTATAAATATTTTTAAGAAATGTCAAGTATTCGTTTAAATTTAAGAAATCGTTACAGTTTGTTATTCATTTTCAAAATAACATGCATAAAATTATATATGAAAAAAATCTATATCTAAGCAAATAAATAAAATTAAAGATTCTGTTTGTAATTTCAAGATAACAGTTTTTTACGAAATGCTTATGAAAGTACATACGGTACTTTTTTAAATTTTTGTCTGTTTGTCAGTTTGTTCCCGCTAATCTCCTAAACGAATGGATTGATTTTGACGGGACTTTCACTGGCAGATAGCAGGTGCTATAAGAAGTAACTTAAACAACTTAACCTTTAGAAAATGAATAAGAGTCAAAAGTATTAAAACCAATGAGATCCCATAGTAATAAATTATATGCAGGCGAAGTCGCGGGGAACGACTGATAATAAAATATTTATATGTTTCATCATTTGCTAAATGAGATGTAAACTCAGTACATATATAGTATAATATAATAAAATCAATTTAAACTTGTAATTTTTACATATTACTCATTTTTATATATTCACTTTTGTACTAAGTATTAATAATTTTTTCTTAATATTTTTAATATGTATAAAATACGTAAATTAAAAACTTGATTTTTTGTTTTATTTTTTTAATGTTATTCGTTCTTATTTTACAACTATTTTATATAAACTGCTTCTTTATGAATTTTCTTTTGTTTCAGAATGTTCCGTTGTAGCACAATAGCAACTCCTAAGAAACATAGATAGCATTGTGAGTGACCGTTCATTTATTACAATAATGACTATAAACTTAAGTAAGACAACATGTAAACAAAATTTTACCCAAATGTGACATTTTAATTTATCAGTGCCAAAACAATGTTTTGCCGCAAAGAACTCAAATTAATCTACGTAACTGTTGTTATTTTACTTGAAGCAGAACTATTAGTGAACACGAAGGCTATGGATTCGCAGAAGTATTCCATTACTATAACACAAAACAGTGACGATTTTAAATCTTTGGAACTATGTACGACAAGAAATCAACAGAGGTTGGGCAGCGTATTTGGTAACTTTACAAGACATCACAAAAAAGGTATGCATTTCTTTCGTAGTGGCCTCGTATAAACCGGTATAAAAATGAGCAGAACGTGGCAAGAAATGAAAAACTTTTACCCCCTATTTTTCGTAATGCCGTCATTGCCACCTTCATAGGGACAGCCCTTCACAAGTTCACTGCCAGAAATAGATCTCTCACAAAGAATACCATAAAACTCGGTCCTGAGCCATCCGCAGCCTATCTATACGAATATCTACAACGTCATTAAACCCATGGGTGTCGCAAGAAGTGACAAATAGAAACTAAGTCATTATATCGGTATCAGCAATCCCTTAAATATTACTAATAAAACCTAAATCCTGATCAGGATACACGGAAAAGTTATTAAATTATGGTCTAATTATTAAATTATTGTCATCGGTCCTTAATATTAGTACAATTATCAAGTCAATTGGCCGTCCACCAGTTTGTGAAAATTACATTACAAGATTCCGTTACATAGAACTACGCAAAGCTACTAAAAGCGTTTTAAAAGTACAAAACTTTTTTTTAAATAAAAAGGGTTACAAACGAATGTGATTGATAAACCGTCTGCTAATCGTGGCAACTATCGCAAAAATATCCTCTACAAAGTTAACCAATGTATATACCAGAAATAGGCAATGGGCTTCGTCGATTGCCTAGAATTGGTCTTTTTGTAAATAGACATGACAATTTTCCAACTCTATTTACATTATTGAGGTTTTTGATTTTTTTTAAAGTTAAACAAAATGTTTTCCTTCACCGGCTACGGTTTTTTTATTGAAGAGGGGGCAGACGAGCATGCGGCTCACCTGATGTTAAGTGACTAGCGCCGCCCATAATCAACCGCAACACCAGGGGAATTGCAGGTGCGTTGCCGGCCCTTTAGAAAGGAGTAAGCTCTTTTCTTGAAAGTCCCCAGGTCGTATCGATCCGGAAAAATCGCCGTTGGTAAACTATTCCACAGAGAGGTTGTACGCGGAAGAAAACTCCTTTTGAAACGTACAGTGGTGGACCGCCAAGCATCCAGATGGTGTGGATGATATCGGGACGTTTGCCGCATAGTGCGTTCATGAAATTTGGTGGCTGGGATTAATCCGAACAATTCCTCAGAGCACCCTCCATGGTATATGCGAAAGAAAATGCAAATAGATGCAACATCTCTTCGCAGCGCCAGTGAATCAAGCCGAACGGAAAGCACTCGGTCGTCGACGATTCGAGCCTCTATGCGCTGGATGCGGTCAAGTGGAAAGGTCTGGTACTGGAGAGTCCCAGCTCAGAGATGGGAACAGTATTCCATGTGCGGCCGAACCTGCGCCTTGTAAAGTTGCAGGCGGTGAGCTGGCATGAAATACTGTCCCGCTCTGCTGAGCACGCCAAGCTTTTTAGTGGCCAATTTGGCCTTCTCTTCCAAGTGACCACGAAACTGCACGTTACTCGATATGTCGACGACGAGGATTCCGATACTGGCTGAGGCAACAAGGGGAGTGCCTTGAAACTGAGGAGATACGACAAAGGGGTTCTTTTTAGCGGTTAACGCGCAAACTTGTGTCTTTTGGGGGTTAAACTGGACTAGATTTAGTCGCCCCCCCCCCCCAATCCGAGACTCTGTTCAGCAGAGACTCGACTTCAGACACAAGTTTTTCGCAGTACTCGTAGACGTTTTCCCCAGAAATATGAGCTCGGCTGGTATAAAGAGCATCACCAGTGTTGTCATCTGCATAGCAATGAATGTTACGGGTTTGCAACATACCATTGATATGCAGAAGAAACAGCGTTGGCGTGCGCGCCTGTGGATTACCAGCATTAATAGGCTTGCAATTGGAGCTTGCACCGTCTATAACGACCTTGGTGCTCCGATCTGCAAGAAAGCTGGTGATCCAATCGCACAATTTCTCGGGAAGCTAATAGGAAGGGAGCTTCGAAAGAAGCGCTTTGTGCAAACCCGATCGAAGGCCTTCGCAATGTCCAAACTAACGGCCAATGCCTCCCCCTTGGACTCTACTGCCTCCACCCATCTATGAGTTAGGTAGACCAGAAGATCACCAGCTGATCAACAACGGCGAAAGCAGTATTGGCGATCACTAATCAGCTGGTGACCTTCAAGGTACCTCATGAGCTGTTAGTTTACAATGGACTGCATTGTTTTGAAGAAAAAAGAAGGTGATGGCGATAGGCCGGTAGTTGGACGGGTCTGAGCGGTCGCCATTTTTAGGGATCGGGTGGACAAAAGCCGTCTTCCATGATTGTGGGACTACGCCTAGGGAGTAGGAGTACCAGAAAAGACGCGTTAAAACCGGTGCCAACTCTAGAGCACACGTCCTCAGCACAATTGGGGAGATTCCGTCAAGCACACTGCACTTTTGGATGTCCAGGGAGAGGAGTGCTTTGCAAACCGAGCGCTGTATGAACTACATTTCCGGCATGGAGCACTCTCACCACGGGATGGTCGGCGGCGTACTCCCCCCGTCATCGAGAGTCGAGTTGGATGCAAAGAAAGAGCCTAGAAGATCGGCTTTCTCTTTTGCGGTATGGGCCAGTGAGTCATCCTCCCTGTGCAGAGATGGAAGAGATGGCTAACAGAAATTCCCCTGGACAGCCTTGGCGAGAGACCAGAATGCCTGGGTTCCAGAAGGAAGGCGAACTAGTTTATCGCCAATTCTGCCTATGTGCTCTGACTTTGCCTTGGCAATGACTCTTTTGAAGGACCTAGAGGCGGAATTGTACTTCTTTTTTAGAGCGCTGGTGTTTACATCTCGGGACGTTGATGCGTCAGCCCAGGCTTGATAGTACTCCTGCTTAAAGCATGATGGTATTTTACAAGAGCGACCAAACAATGGCTGAGATTTGCCTCCAATGGGCACAGAGGAAGGAATAAAAAGTTCCATACCCTAAAGTACCACATCAGTGACAGAATCCGCAACAACGTTGGGATCGTCCGGCGGGAAGCAAACTCGCCCCCAAGGGTAGGATGCAAAGAAAGACCGCATCCCATCCCAATCGGCTGACCTGTAGTGCCAAACACGGCGGCAGCCTGCGGAATGCAACTGCGATTTCAGCGTGAGTGGCACCACACTCCGGACAAGACAATGGTTCGAGGAGCCTAAAGTGGCGTCGACGAAAATCTGATATCCATCCGGGTGAGAGATATCAAGTCCTATCAGCAGAAGGTCCAACAGTGAAGGTGCATGATCCTCCACATCTGAAATCCGCGTAGGCGAAGTAACCAGTTGTGTCAGACCATATGCCAGGGAAAAAAATCATGAATAGATCTCCCCGCATGATCGGTTAAACGTGAACCAAGCCATTCGGCGTGATGGGCATTAAAGTCGCCGAGGATCACGATCTCTGCGGAGAGGATCTGCTGTAGCAACGAATCTGTAGCCATTTGGGCGTGGTCGAAGAGTCGGTCTGTTTCGACATTACCGCTACGGGACCTATAGAGGCACCCGTAGACGCGCGGTTGGTCGTAGCTGTCTACGTGTAGCTAAAGGATGGACAGGTCCGAACCTTCAAGACTGCCGAGGCGTCGAGAACAGATGTCCTCTCTGACGTAAACGCAAACTCCGACCCGGGGCACAAAGGGGTGTTCCAGTTTGTACCCCGGGTAGGAGAGATACGAGACATCAGCCGAAGAGGACACCTGCGTCTCGGTCATAAAGAGCAGAGCCGGCCTCGCCGTCTCGAGATGGTAGTGGACGGCGTTTATGTTAGAGTGAAGTCCCAGGCAGGGGTCGCCTTGGTCTTGTTGCTCTGTTTGCCCCGAGCAGTTGTAGTCTTTAGCGGAATTTTGCCCCCCCCCCCCCCCAAATACGTGGGGCAGCCTGAGCATCCACCCTCAGAAGTGGAGAAATATGGTCGTCGATGCTCAGAGAGGGATTCTCCAGGGGTGCTGGTACCTTCCTGGGTTAGTCTACCATCATTTAATTCCGCTACCATGTTGATGGGGGGGGGGATTTGGGCCTCCGGCCACCTGCACTCACCAGACGAAACGCGGAAGCAGAGCTTCCACTTCACGCCGGTATTCTGTGAGGTCGTGGTACCACCCCAGTTTGAGCCGGCCCATATGTGCAACAGCAAAGCTGCCGCGTGCCTCTACCACTATTAAACGGTAATGATAAGTTTCCGATTGACCAAGAAAAGATCTACATTACATAGATTTAATTTGAAACATGGTATCAATAAATCTGTATAATGTATATCTTTTTTGCACCGTAATCCAATAGCTACACAATACCATCTCATGATACTAAATTACAATAGCGTGTTTTTCTTGACGCAAACTGAATGCACTGTTCTACTTCATGCCGGTCACTCGGTTTCTATATATTTATTTGAATGTAATATTTCCAGGACACAGAAGAAGAACTACTACGTCAACTACAACTTCAACACAAACTACAATTGTTTATACAACTATTGAGAATGTCGAGGATTCATCAGACATTTATACTACAAAAGCGTATTCATTAAGTACCCAATCCACAATCTTAAAATTACCCAAGCCACTGAGGCTTTCATCACTGATGCTTGATAAAGATTATGGAGAAGATGTAGATAATTTTGACAAAATCATTGAAAAAGAAGTCAAAGATGTTATAGTAAGTGAACGACATCATTCTAAGCACTACGAAAGAAATAAAAAAGAAATTCTTGTTGAATTAAATGAGGCATCACTCTCAAAATCATTAAACAAAATAAAGAAATTGTATAGGGATTCAACTGCCTCTGCAATTAATAAGCTTAATAGCAAAACAAGTAAGAACGGAATATTTTTGACCGATAACTGTACAACAGTTGTCGCCCAAATCGGAACCACAGCTATTTTACATTGCGAAGTTAGTGATATAACCGAAAATACGGTAAGCATTTTATCAAAAGTTTAGTAATCGGTTGTTAAAACTAAATGCCATAAACTACCGATGTCATAACTGCTTTAAGTGTTTTTATCAATTATGATACAAATTGACGATTTTTTTAATATAAGTATAATTTATAAATTTAAATTTCAACAGGTTACTTGGATAAGAAGAAAAGATTACTCTCTTCTCTCAGTAGGACTTGTTACCTACAGCACTGACAGCAGATTTTTTTCAGCCCATGGACGACACGTCAAGGTAATGTCTAGGGCCCAAGAAATACTTACTATTTATTCCGAATTTTATGTATTAAAATACAAGTTATCTTTTTCAAAAGACAGGGCAAAGCTTGAAAGTAAATTTGTCATTTCTACAATATAACAATATTTGCTTCTGCTTTTTCCTCGTAGACTCACTGAGTAGAGCTACTGGTTAAACCTCTATGACTTTCTAACCATACAGTAAATCAAAAAAAAAAATTAAATTTGATTAACTGTATGTATATATATATATATTATACTGTATATTATACTGTGGGTAAAATGCAAATATAGTTATGTACTCTCATTCCAGGATTGGGCATTACACATAAGATTTGTAACGTCAGCTGATGCAGGTTACTATGAATGCCAAGTTCCAACACATCCACCTACAAGTATTTTTTTTCAAGCTTATTTTAGTCGGTGAGTGTTTGCTACTTTGAAATTGAATCTTCTTATCGTAGAATTAAAATAGCTAAAGTAAAGATATAAATATTACATATACATATATATGTATGTATATACCCGATAACTGGGTAAAGGCCTCCTCTAATTTTGAGAAAGTAAATGGAGCCCTTAAATAATTTTGAAATGTTTTATTTCTCAGATACGTAGGTTACTTCATGATATTTAGCGTTATCACGGAGCACCATCACGGTAAACAAGTAGCCCTTAAATTTCACTCAACAATTGCAGGACTTTTCTTGGGGTCGAACTATAGTGTCCCACATACTATGCAAATACAAACGTTTATCTTTTGACTCACCCCGGCTTAATATAGTTCTTATTTTATTATATATTTTTACTTCTTAACGTTTATTACAGCGGCGTATGCTGAAATTGTTGGAGAATCGGAGAAAATCATACATGAGGGATCTATGCTGAAACTTGTTTGCGTAGTTAAGAGATCTACAGAACCACCATCTTACGTTTTCTGGTATTTTGAGAACCGAATGATAAATTATGACTTAAGTAAGTATTAATATTCTTCGGTTGACAATAATAAATATATTTTTACTAATGAGAAAACTATAATATAATATTTATGATCAAAGGAACTTCTCCAAGCGAAGTTCGATCAGTATTAAATGAATAGCTTCATTCGAAGATATAATATTAACCGCTTAGATGTTTAGAGTTTTCTTTATTTGGTTACTTAATCATACGTTGAACATTAAAAAAAAACTCATAAAAAATCCAATATAATTTATTAGTTCCATAGTAACAAAATAACGTACAAACATTTACTTGTCCATCTTATTTAATATGTATGTTCTGCTTCAAAGAATCATGGGTTTTTTAATATTAGTAAGCGGAACTTACTAGTTCCGCTGGATGAACAGCATAGCGCGTGCTATGTGCACTCCACAGTCATGTCCACGCCGCTCTCCGCTAACACGTTATTAATCCACCTACTGATATATTAAGTGGTGGCCGCCTTGTGTGGCCGCCTGTGTGTTAGCAATAGGTTCTGACAATCTGCGAGTCTGATTTTATTTGTAATATCTAAATAATCCTTTATTGTCGTGGCTGGATATATATTTTTACTTTCAATGAAACAAGGTAAAATTAGAAGGTTTTGCTGACGTCCCGCTGCAGACGTTTTAAATAAATCAGTGATACTGATTCTAACATCTGAAAAACATATCTTAATACTGACTATCTTTATAAAAGATAATGTTTGAACTCGGTATGCTGTGCATAATTTCATTAATATTGCAAATTTTGGGTGAATTTTTCAACTGAAAGTGTTTCACTGGGAACCCAATCTCCAATATAATTTAAGACAATGTTTGGATCCCAAGTACCAGCATATTTTGGAAGGGGTGGTCTTATCTTGCGTGCGCCCTTTAAGAATCTTTTTATTTGGTCTTTAGAACCTACACAGTCTCCTAAAAGTAATGATAAAGCCAACTTGTGGTTATGGAGTGAACCGTAAGCAGCCCCATTATTAAATTGCTCCGATAAAAATAGCAAAATTGACGGTATAGAACATGCGTAAGGATCTAGATTACGCATGTTTGTGTTCGCAAAATTTTATGAGGAAATTGCCACCACAGCTTACACAAGACGCTATAATGAAGTATATAATATTCTTTGCAAGCGATGCCATCATCACGTTAGGAGCGGCTGATGGTGTACTTCTTTTTATAAATACGATCCTGAGAGCCTCGCTGCACTCAGGGTAAGTTGTTTATGCAGGTGATGAGGAGTTCTGAAAGAAGACCGTAAGAGATCTTTGTGATTTGTTAAAAGGAAATTTTAACCGCTTGCATTGTACGAGAAGTAAGATGCGTGAAGCCCAATGTTTCGCTTCTCACACCATTGCCATATTGATCGAGATAATTCATTCAAATGGGGTTGAATTCCTCCAATTCGATTGATATAACTTATAGCTGTTGTATTATCTACGCGCAACAAAATATTACAATCCGACATATCCCTAACAAAACATTTAATAACGAGAAATATAACTAGTAATTCTAGGTGATTTATATGATAGTCGAGTTCATTGTATTTCCATTCTCCGCCAACATGAATGTCATTACAACAAGCACTTGTAAATATCTCGTAATTAAATCTAGTTATTCTAAACTAATTTTTGTTTAAAAATACATTTTTTCCACCATTGCAAATCTGGTAAGATATCTTTTGAAATTTGAATATTTTTACTATACGTCTTACATTTTAGAAGCGCAATTAGGTATTTTTGTCTTTATAGTCGTTTAGAGAACAATCAGCCAAATCATATCGTAGGGCAGGCAGCCGTGAGGACACCTATCAAATGAGCGAAATCTCTAATCGAACAACTAGTTAAGAAGGAGAAGCTTTGTATTAGTCTTAACTGTGTCATTCATTTTTAATCATTTATGTTCTTCTATTTATCTTTCTTTATCATATTACTTTAAGGAGTCTTTATTAAATAATTAATATTTCTTTGATAAGTATATTTTTATTTTTTTAGTGGGCTATATGATTTTGTTTATCTATATGTAGACTTATAGAAAGTTCCGTGAAATCAAAAATAAATCTCAAATATTTGCAAGATATATGCGGGCCTAGCCAGGACTTGTTATAATTAATAACAAAACCTAAGCATTGTAAAAGACGCATAGTCTCGTTAGCGTTATCCAAACATTCATTTTAGTCTTTACCTATACAAAGAATGTCGTCAAGATATATGGCAGACTTCTATCCCCTGCTACTTACGTTGGTTCTTACCTCTTTTATTATCTTATTAAATGTTCTAGGAGCAACGGACAGGCCATGTGGCACGGCATTAAATTCATAAAGAGTTTTAACTTAATTTTCATCTTCAAATTCAAATCTTAAAAATTTGCGATGACTTGACTTAACACACACTTGTAAATATGGCTCCCGTAGGTTAATGATAAACATGTAAGTATTATGCGGTATTAACTTTGAGGCCTTTCTGTAGTCCTCCATTTTACAGTAATAAATAAATCATCAGAGGCAGCCGAATTTAGTAAATGGCGCAAATATGAGTTTTGAGAAATGACTACATATTTGTGCCATTTGCTGTAGAGTCTATTTGGTTTTTGTTTTTTTTTTTTTGCGCCCGAAGCAAATATGGGCAACCCTCCGGAAAGCGGGGGAGGGAGGCGGTGAATGCTCATAGCATACCACGCAGCCGGCTGCGTGGTTATGTGGAGACTTTTACCCACTAAACACCGCCTTTTAGGAAATGGCTTAACGATCTGACTAGAGATCTCTAAGCCGTATACGAACGCGACCCTCCTTGGCAGAAAGGAGGGCGCAAGACTATCGGTCCGTGGAGTCCGCGTGCAGTGAAATTTCTAAAGGAACTGTATCCACGACTGGTCGTCGCTGCTGGTGATAAGAGGGCTGGTTCTGTCCTCGCTCAAAGGCTAAGTATAGCTATTCAGCGAGGAAACGCAGCCAGCGTTCTTGGCACTATACCACGGGGAGCAGGTCTTTTTGACTATTAACATTTTTAGTTTTAGATTTTCTATATTATAGTTTCTTTTATAATGTATATAATTAGTTTTTATCGTAAATATTTTAATTTTAATTATTATTTTAGTTAAGTTAGTTATTATAATTTTTGTAATGTGATGTATGAGTATAAGTCAACTCAAATAAACAAATTTTAATGTGAGATTTTGCAATGAACCTATAAATTCAGAATAAATATATTGCCTCCCTGGGGTTTAGGTGTTAAGAAAATTGAGGATATGAACTGGTTCCTTGATGGATGACACTTCGATATTGCTCCTAAGTTTAATAAATTACTTATACCTACAGGAATGTATTGTTTATCTTTTAATGACAAAGTAAAATGGGGTAATCTACATTGGGTAATTTGTCTATTAAATAATTTTATTCTTTGTTAATTTAATCCAACAGTCATATAAATTTTGTATTCTTCCCGAATGCTCCTGTTTTACTGCTAAACTGGAGTACGGTAAGATTTGTTGTTGCTCCAAGACCTGAGAGGGTTGATCCCCGTGTGTCCCCGATGACGACTTCCTTAGCCCTCCCACCCCCTCTTGTTCTTCGAGCAAGAAGGGCCTCTCCAGTTTCCCTGGTAACGATTGTCTCTTGAAGACGAACTTGTTGTTTTCTGTGATGTTCTGATGATGACGTAGAGTAAAAATCTTTATAGGTGGAACTTAGCCTTGTAGAATAAGGAAATTACGTTGTTAATATTATATCTGAAGTATGAAGTAATGATATATAATTTCATATATAATATTTCTTATATATATATTTATATAATATCGTGAAGTTATATCTTTAAACGGCCATCGTTAAATACATATTAACGTATATTCAATAAATTATATATATATATATATATATATATATATATATATATATATATATATATATATATTATAAAATAAAAATATATAATCATACGTTATCTTTTGATACTTAAACTCAAATATCATTACTTTCCATCATAGATGGGGTTAGTGTGAACAATGGGCGACATACAAGTGAACTGATAATCGGTAAAGCTGAACCGAGACACGCCGGAAATTACACGTGTGTTCCGGCTAATGCTAAAGCTGCATCAGTTACCGTACATGTAGTTCAAAGTGAGTATTGTGTTAAAAGAGTTATTTGACATAATTAATTTCATCATCCATCATCAGTTTATAAAAGTCTAACACAATAACACGCTAGTCAAGCGAGTTGGTTAACCCTCTATATGATTGGCGAGTACGAGACCCACTTAAGTCTTTAATCTCGTTGTGCTGTACATAACTTTACTCACAAACTTTACACCCTAAATATAGCTTGTGGGATATACCATCAACTGAGACAGAGCAAAATTAAACTGGATATATATACTAAAGAAGGCTAGGCTAGGCATTTAAATACAAATCTTTAGTCTGATATACAAAGTCGGGGATCGAACCCGGGTTACTCTCGTTCTGTTATATTTACAGCGACCGTTAACCTATTGAGCTACCACGGCTCTTAAATACTTCAATATACTTTAAGCTAGTTCTACAAAGAACAGAGTTTTATTCAGAGTGGTAGAGCCATGCTGCAGTTATATTAGTAGTATAATTGTAGCACGAATGGGAAGGACCACGCTCTCACAGAATATCAGCGTGAAATACTAGTAGTAGCAGCATTAAGTAGAAGTAGTACTTAATGCTGCTGTGTTTCGTATGGTGAGTGTAGAGAACCGGAGACCCTTTTTATTGGAAACGAGGCATTCCATCTTGGTCCTCACGGGTGACAACGCATCTGCATTTTGATTTGTAATCGAGAATAGATGTAGATGTCTATGGGCTCAGTAACCACTTACCATCAGGTGTACTGTGTGCTCGTGTGTCACCTTATCCTATAAAAAACTAGCTTAAAATATATTGAAGTATTTCAGTAGTACGTTTGAGATACCTTTATTAATTATGGGATCCTAAGCATGTATAATACCCAGCTATCTTTTCTTTTGAAATCAGGAAGTTGTTTTATTTTTTATTTTTATAGCCTCATCCTTGCTAAAAATCGACCACGGTGTTAAAGCACACAAAACGTTGGGCATTTAAATTAAACGCGATTAAATAAATAAAAAATAGTTTTATTCAATTATATATAATATAGTCCAACTTTCCCGTTTAAATACATTGTTACCATTATCTCACGCTAAAATACATAAAAAGTAAAAAAAGCAATTTCAGTGGTTAAATTAAGAATATCAGCGTATTTTGTATTAATAGTTCCACTTTTAAATATTGTTTTCAGGCGAGACACCGGCAGCAATGCAACACGGAAATTCATCAGTAACGAAAACTCGTATCCATTGTTTCACCCAGACGTTAATTGCCTTAGCGTCATTAATTTTGATATTCAAACTAAAATATCAAGAATTTGGATAACGCAGAGTAGCATAGTTATGTATTTTAATACGCTGTTAATTAATATCCTACCCTTGTAATATAATATTCCATATCTCAAATGTTATACAAAGTATTTTCCAGTAACAAAAACAGAAACCTCTTAATATTTATTATCTTTTACTTTTCTGAAAAAATCAATCAACAACGATTAATTTTTTGTGATTTATGAGAATTAAAATTTACTCTAGATTAATCCCTCGAGAAATTTAAAAATATGATAAAATATTATTTTGTTTCTGGAAAAGCCTTAATTCTTATCAAATTTTAATGTTTATTACAGTCGATGAATTAAGAAAAAGTATACCAAGTGAGTACAATAATTTATCTGTAAATAGTATAATACGAGTATTGTGAATTATTATATATGCGTAAATAAAATTTAAGACTATGTAATAATCTGCTATTTGAATTTAAGGAATAAATAAGTATTTTGAATTGAACGTGCCAATTTATTCTAGTTTTATTTATGTTGTTATTTTTGAATGTTATCGTATTTAAATAAGCTCGGTAGTCATCACCTCGCGTTTTGAAACATCTCTCTCTCTCTCTCTCTCTCTCTCTCTCGTATAGAAAGAGTGAACGAAGTAGTTTTGACGCGAGACTTGTGGACGATAAGTCTGACACCTTCTTGGAACACACGGTCACCCACTCGGTGATAGCACAAGTTGCCTAATTCGATTATTACCTTATCCTCCCCTTCTCTTAAGACTCCAGACAATCATATAATATCCCAGCGCAACTTGTCTTTTTTTTTCTTAGATGACAACCGAACCTCCACCGGAGATTTTTACGGCCCCGCCGCTACCTAGATCGCCACCGTAGCCAAGAATAGCGGTCATGGGCCACTGTGGACCTAGAGCTGTTTATTTGTATCATTGCTCAGGATGTTTGCCATAGTTGCCACGCTTGGCGAGCGGGTTGGCAACCGTAATTTTTATTGTAATATTGCTGTTATCAATAAGGTACTGCAGTTCGTCTCCTGTTTCAGTTTTCCTCTGTCACCTCTTACGACATCCACAGGAAAATATTAAGTAGTGGATATTCTTACACCGCCACTACACGGTTATAAACTATATAATCGCTATATAAATACATATAATCGCGAATTGGTAAACTTTGTTGATTTGGTGATCACGGTATAATCATACATTCTATTTTTTTTAAACATGTTTTTTTTTAAATATTACCCCTACACTAAGATTTTGTCTTGTATCGTTTACAAACATAAATTGCACAAGGAAAAACATCCAGTTCCGAAACAACTATTTGTAGGCCATACAAATACTTGTTCCGTGCGGGATTCGAACCCGCGAGCCCAGCGCATCCACTCATTGCTTAAGCCACTACGCCACGGAGTCGTCAATTTAGTTTAGGTCTATCCACGAAAGGAACGTTAATAGGTTTACAAGGTATAAATGAAATTAAAATTAATGTCTATAATATCAAATTAACTGCCTTTTATTCAGCACAGAAAGTTATTCGTATGTCTAACCATTTCCGATTTATTTTCTCTTTCTGTCTATATAATCCAGTCTGGACCGAGCTAATCTTAATGAAATGAAATGAAATGAAATTTATTAACATACATTACATTATTGTTACTTTTTTGAGCCCTGAAGCCTGTGTTAGTAAAAACTGTGCTACAGGCCTCAGACTTCCCCATCTATTGTCTAAGTATTATAATGTATTATAATTATAAAGCTATTATGAGCTTACTTACTATTAATAATAGTAAGTAAGTTCATAATAGCTTTATAATAGCGGATTGTTTTTTTTTTTATTGAATAGAATGTTGAACGCGCACAAAGTCCACCGGATGGTAAATGGACACTGTGGCTCTTAGATACTTGCATTACTTGTCCTCAAATAAGAATCAAAATAATGATGTGTTATCACCACTGAGGACTTAGATGGCATCGTATTCATTAAAAAATCAGTATGTGAATACGATGTATATTATACATGTACATAATAATATTAGTTGCGGGTCGAGACAAGTATAAATCTGCCTAAGATGTTTGCTACTGATATAGTATGTTGCTCACCGATGCTGCTTTAGATTTTAAGTCTTAATTAATGAAATACTAATTTATATTTTGATGAAAGTTTTCATTTTTATCTAAAGTTAATTATTTTACTTAGGTGGATTAAAGAATGTCAAAAGTTTAAGGTAAGAACTAAAATGTCTGCTAAATAGTATCACAAGACTACCCCTGTTTTTCCTCCATTATGGGTGGAGTTTTTCATAGTTAAATATTATTTTAAATCGAATCGGAATCGATACAACCAATTATTCGAAAGTCAAATAAATTACATATTATACATTCGCCTCGTCGCCTCTCATTAGGTGAGAGCATAAATTTTTTATACTACACGCAGAAAAATGTTTTTTTAGTAAAATAAAAATGATTGTGGAGTGTTTGTATAAAAAAATCCATTCAAGCATGCGGAATGCCGAGAGGATAGTATCATATCAGACGTAATTATTATGGAAAATGCACTCTATTATGAGAGGCTCAACTCCAGAGGTAGACATTTTAACATACTACATTTTTATGTACGGTTAAAACTACTGATAATAAGAGTAACTAAAACTTACAGCATCCGTGAATATTATGATTTATTTTGTTTGAAAAGTCATCTATAACCTACAGACTTTGATAACGATTTAATTTTACTGCCTCGAGAGGGCAATGCTGAAAATTTTTATGACTTAATCGTCTTGGAGGAAAAGTTTTATTACCAGGCAATAAAGAAAGAAAGCGGTCAAACTTTTAGTTGATTTCAAAGTATCACTACGTTGTCATAAAAACTTTAAAGTGCGGTATTGAATTTGATTTAGATAAAGCAACTTACGAAATTAAATCATGGCAGTAGTTTACGCAGGCTTTCCAACTTCACGTATTTTCACATATGTCTATCGATGGGATATATTTTGCGCGTATCAACAAACTCCGACTCTTGTATCAACGCGCTTACAATCGTACGCACGTACGAACTGAATTTGTTTTACGGTATATCATTCTTCTTTTATCTTATATTTTATATAAGTAGGTTTAATAATAGTACACTCATGCAGCCGCTGTGGCGTACACAAGGAAAACATGAAGTTTTATATCGTACTAAATTTCTCCACTACGTCAATAAAGAAGTTACACTTCAAACATTATAAATGTATAATATTTGCCTTTTCGTATAGTCATATAATTTCATACAATCAAAGATAACTCACAGTATCACGTGGTATGTCCCAACTGAAGCGAAATATAGAAAAACTAACCCAAAAATGAAGTGATTTGTGATATATATTTCTATAGCCGATTTTATGTGGTGGCTAAAATTTTTTAGTTTATTTTAATAAATCAACGCAATATTCATGTTGCGGCAAGAATTTTTATAAACACAGATTTAACTTTTTATGCTCTTATAGTTACGAATATATACTAACTGCATGATAAATTATTTAATTTAGAGAAATTTTATATGAAACATAATTATGTATAATATTGAATTTAACACATTATGTATTATATTCCAGTCCGACGAAAAAATTTAGTCTTTAAAAAGTTCGGCTTTTAATCGGTTTTATCCTCGAATTTTTTAAAGCTATAAATTTTGCATGTACAATTTGAACAAAACTACTTAATTTTAAGCTCTTGTACTGAATTATATCCAAAATTCCTCGTTCAAAAACTAATTTTACTTTTCAAAGTTTAAATTAGTTATTTTGCAACGTTAAGGTTTGTATAAAGAGTTATTGAGCTATCCTTAACTAGCTACTCGCGCCGGTTTCACCAAGATAAACTCATACGGCGTTACTTAGATTTAAGATTGGTAATCATCAAAAACCAATTATTTTATCAATTATTCTATTTGTCAAAATATTTTTAAGTTTTCGTAATTTACAATCGTTTAAGCCATTCCAAAGATTAACCCGGACAGGAGACACACAGACATACAGATATTTTTTCAATCTTTTATACATGGTAAAGCCATGCTGCAATTATATTAGTAGTATAGTTAAAGCACGAATGTGTCGGCTAGACCGGGGAAGGACCACGCTCTCATAGAAAGAATACTAGCGTAAAATAGTAGCTTAATGCTGCTGTGTTTCGTATGGTGAGTGTAGAGAACCGGAGACCCTTTTTACTGGAAACAAGGCATTCCATCTCAGTCCTCACGGGTGACCGCGCATCTGCATTTTAATTAGTAATCGAGGATAGATGTCGATGTCTGTGGACCGCAGTAATCACTTACCATCAGGTGGACTGTGTGGTCGTTCGTCACGCTATCCTAAAAAAATCTTGTCTTAATATCATGCAAACAATCACTTAGCTTAATAAAAGGTAGTTATGTCATTATTACAGAAGGACACATAAATTTAATTTATATGTAGATAGCTAAAAACTTTACTGTATTGTTATATTTAATACAAAATATATTACAATAACTCAACTGAAATATTGAAGGTATTGCCTTTAATGATCATTTATTTACAGCGTCGGGCGTCGTCTTACGAAGTTAAGTTTTTTTTTAAATAAAATGTTACACCCTGAAGTTTCTCCTTTAATGTGGATGCAATTTACATACCCGGAACAATTGCATGTAGGCCACAAAAATACTTTTTGCGTGCGAGATTCGATCTAGCAGCCTTAAGCGCACCAACTCAATTCTAAACCACAGCGCCAAAAAGTTTAACTAATAGTTCAACAAGTTGTTGAACCTATTTTACTCACCTAATGGTTGAATTTACAAAAACCTTCCTTAGTTGGTGTTTAAGTCAAGAAAGGAGTATTTATGCCAAATTTTAAGTCAATCGGGTGTAAAGTTTTGGAGATCTAGTGATGAGTGAGTGAGTCGGTGGTGTTTCGCTCAAATATATATTGTTAATAAGCTCGATAACAAGTATACTTTAACATGAAAGCAAAATATAAATTTCTCAATATTTTCAAACTAAATTTTGATAATATTATGAGAAT